AAATAGAACAGAGGTGCATAGAATGGAGACACGCGACCTGGAAGCTTTATAAGGTTATTTACAATTTTTTACAATCTCTCTTTTAAAACTCTAAGAATTAATTCATCGTTCAGTGTGTTTGTAATAGTTTACATTTTTGGGGGGATTAACAGAGGTGCTCCAGAAAGGCCATCATCATTTAGATATTTCATGAAAATCACATTGTTGCAAAATCACAGGTATGGGGTGGTGTGTTAAAGTGCGGGTGAGAAATGCACCTTTACCGGTGCTGTTTATTTCCCATAAGAAGCTCTGAGGCTCACCGTGGGGGCACTGAGTTCAGCATTGGGGCATTTGGCAGCTTGGTGCCCGAGGGTCTGTGTGGGGCCTGTTGCATGCCTGTCTCTCTGACCCCGGGCATGTAAATCCTCCATGCTGACCTCCATGCGGACCTTCTGCTCATCTGAAGCCTCAGTTCTCTGAACCGCTATAAGCAGTTTTACGGTCTGGAAAGGAATCAGCACATTGACCCTGATCCTATGCCCTTAACCTCCTGTTTGGTGTTGCTCTGAACTGAATACAGCATCTTGTTGCCCTTCTTGTGGACTTTCTTTGCTAACTAGATCTCTTACGTATTCTACTAGAATTGTGTCTTCTGACTGTGAAATGAGTTTGCTGTTCTACGTGGCCTGAAGTGTGAGCTTTTTTGCAACCAGCAGATCAGTGCAGATTGCACAAAATAGTTTCCATTTGGTCCTTTAACACGCAGTTCTCGGTACATGCCTGGACTGACGGCTTAGACGGACCCAAAGAGGGTGGTTCCAGATGTGTTTTCTGATGATAGTTACCCAGTGCACACTCTGTTCTGTTCCAGGTCAGACGGAGCCTTGAAGATCTATTCTACCTCTATGGTAAGATGTTCTTGTGGCAACATAGCATCACAAAAACTATTTGCCGGTGTTTTAAAAAGATTTTAACTGACATCCTCTGGTCTAGTTGAAACAAGGGTTGAGAAAGTCCAGACCTCAATTTGCAGCGGTACAGAAACTTTTTTGATGGCTGCTTTTGCCTTCGTGTGACTTTCCTGGCTTGGTTGATTGTTTCAAGAGATATGCCATGAAAACTCTTGACTTTTGGACTACAAAAGGTCAAAGGTCATGGACAGCCAAGATCGGTCACCTGCTATCTAGCTTCATGAGTCTGGCGAGTTCCCACAGATTAATGGAAAGAGGAAATCAGGGCAGCACAGAAAGAGACACATAGGTACGGGATGGAAACCAGCAGATGGTGAATTCGAAGTGGAGGTTAATCCTATACTATGGCAGGTTAGCACCTAAATGGTTTGGTGCTGGTGCTTTTACAGGAGTGGACCTGGAACTTTGGGCACATGAGCACACCTACGAAAGGCTTTGGCCAGTCTATAAGTACAAGGTAAGGGATTTCACAAACAGAAATACAATAAACTGACGAGAAGATGTGCAGTGCAGTCATGCTTGTTATGGTCATAGGTATGTTTGAGGTTGAATTTGCCAATAAAGTCAATAAATATATAATTCATTTATAAAAATGGCCTTTAATCTAATCTAGAACAAAATAAAAATAGAAACAAAATTGTACTTTCCTCAGGTCTACAATGGGAGTGCAGAGGAGCCATATGTGAACCCCAGAGCCCCGGTTCACATCATCACTGGCTCAGCTGTAAGTATCGCAGTGCTTCAAAGGATTAGCACTACTGACCCATAACCAAACATCACAAAAGAATCGAAAGGGCCCTTTTTAAAAAGTGATGCCACTGAAAAACTCTGATGATAAATGATAGAGGTTTGACAGAAGCAGTCAGACTCCTTTGATCTTCCAGGGATGCAGAGAGAAACACGACGGGTTCATCCCCAAGCCCAGGGACTGGAGTGCTTTACGGAGTACTGACTATGGCTACACCCGCATGCAGGTGTTGAACTCCACCCATCTGTACCTGGAGCAGGTCTCCGACGACCAGGTAGGTGGAGATGCTGCCCCTTGTCCCAGAGCTTAGGTTTTCCAGACAAGACCGTGACAGAAAAAACGAGAGCGAATAGAACACCGAATGCAGCCAGCACATCTGTTTTCTTGTCACTGCGGAGCTCCAGAAATTGATTCACCCCTTGGCTGCAACTTCACCCATCAAGTGAGATTGTGAAGAAGATGCAGACAGTGGGTGATGTCAGTATTGCGGTTATGCTGAGGTCAAGCAGACTCAAAGATACTCCTGGTTGTTTATCCCGCAGAATGGTAAGGTGATTGACACCATGTGGCTGGTGAAGGATCGGCATGCAACGGCAGCCTGGGTCTGACAACACCAGTCAACATATGGGCGGGGACCAGCAGCATTCAACCAATCAAATTCTTTTTTGGAGTAAAGTATTTCAAGGTTCAATTAACTTCTAAGTACATTCTAAACTTTTTAGGGACACGATATGCAGTTATATGATTACAGGGATATGACAGTTATAAAACAGCTGTGAATTTTTTAATAATGGATGAAAGCCAATTATAAAATACATGTGTTTTGAACTGAAGAAAAGGGTGATATTTGGCTTTCAAATGTTGTCAGATCAGATTTATATTGCTGAATCTTTTATTTTATCTGTTGTTCTGGAGTTGGAATGAATCTGTCTAAAACCACAGGGATTGCATAAGCCTACATAAGGTGATTTATGCATTATGGATAAATGCTAAAAACATTTATCAAAAGCACAAGGGATTTTCACCCAAACCAGGAAGTTCTTAAGTGTGTCACAAAGAAAGTTTAAATGCCGCTAATCATCTATCAGGCTGTAAAAAGGCTAAAGCTGGCAGAAGATGTATTTAATCTGTCATTTTGCAGTGGATGCTTTTTTATTTAGTGTGATTGTATCTAAAATGGCAGCAGGAAAGTCACGTGTAGCTTTGTGAACTTGCTTTTGTAAATTTTGTTTTATTTTGATAATTGTCTTATTGCAATTGCTGTCTTCTGGATCTTGCAGATTTTTTTTCAATAAAAATGATCATTCCAAGTTCCTGTCAGCTCGTTTCTGGGTGAAATGTAGGCTTGGTTTGCATACGGTGTTTTGTTTTTGGAACAGCAAATGTGATCCTGGATAATTGTTCCACTTGGAAGCATAGCATGTCTTTCTAAAGTTACCGCTCTGCCCTGTTTAAATAGGCCCTTCACTCAGTTCCCGGTCCTACCTCAGTCAATCACTGCACCTTGTGAACTTGACTGTAACACGAAATGCTTCAGGGACAGGCTTGTACTACAAAGGAAACATTTATCTTGCATTTAGCTTATAATAAAGCTATATATGTTTATGCCAACCTAACAATTCACAGTTGGTCCAGTAACAGTTAACTAACTCCAATATCTAGTGGAGACTTAAGGCCATATTTGAGGGACATACTGAAACGGTCAAGACTCTGTGCCAGTATGAATTCAGCAAGGCAGACAGTGATTTATACACGGCCGACTCCATCGAGGACTCCCTATCAGTACATACAGGCTGACGAATGCTCGAACAGCCTGTGCTACACTGCTACTCCCTCCTCAGTCATTTCTTTGGGAAACATCCTGTCGGCATCTCTGAACACAAATGGGGAAAAAAATCTCCATGTGTTTCCATGGGGTTAAATGGACCATGAGACAAGCAGCGAAGGTTTGCATGACAGTGACTGATGGCTGTCACTGTGCCACCCCTTGTCTCCCCGGCAATTAGTTTAAAATGCCCCATTTGAGGCTAAACCTGAGGCAAGTTTCCAGGACTTATTAAGAACAGATAAGAACAGCCCCCTTTCTTTTGCATGTGTGAATCCTTGACCTTGTCTCAGTCCCAAAGAAATGTTTCCAAAGTTTAGTGGAGGTCCTCCAGGATGGGGTTATAATATATTGAGGTCCACTGCATTCTATCTTTTTAGGACAGGATCCTCCTTCCAGATATCCTTACATGGGACTGATCCTGAGACTCAATAAAACAGGTATTGTTTGGACTTGGGCTGACAAACAAAGACGGCTTTCGATGGAAAACAGCCATTACTGTCGTCAACTTCAATAAACTTCCTGGACGAGCAATGGTTCCCTGTGGTCTTTCCATCTCTGCATTGCATGAGATACTGTCCAATACTAGGCCAAGTTACAGTCCCTTGGGTCAAAAGCCCAGCTTCTCCTGCGCAGTCCAGAAGGGTGTCAGATCCAGTTGGTGTGATGTGTCCAATTCAAACAGGGTGATTTGTAGACATATCCAAAAACAGCCGTTTGGTTTTCATGTAAAAGCACAAATATATGCATACAAAGAATAGTTTATAGAGTGATATCTGTGGTCGCAGCATGCACGCAGAAAAATGATTTGACTCATTTTGAAAAGACTCATTAACCATATGTCTCTGGTACACATTTCTATGAACTGGTGGCCATCAGCCACGCATCAAAAAGCCAGCTGGGCTGCCACATGCTATGCCTTATTTATAACTTCTTCTGCTGGTAGTGACAAATGACTGAGCATAGAGACTGAGCATTACTCCATAAGATGGCTTATTGTGGGGGTTTTAGGGCTACTTCTGCATAGTCCATTGATGAATCCTGTCAGAAACATGAATGGAACTTAGCACTTCTTCAAAGCTCAAAGACAATGCTGTGTCACTGGGAAATGACAGGTCTGGAGTGCATGTGGATTTTGGTGTACCGAGTGTTGCTAGAAAAGCAAAAGTGATACCTTCTACCAAATTGAATGATCTGTCAATCACTGACCTGCTGTTTTAATATTCTCTGCGACATTCCAAAGTGGGCCAAAATGAATGGTGCTGGGAATGGAAGAGTCATTGCCAGATGGGAATTCAGAAATGGGAAAGCAATAAAGATTCCCCAGACCCCCCATGCTCGGAATGGCTTGCTCATGGGCGTTCTAGAAGCAGCAGCATGACGGGGGTTACTAAAGGGGCGGGGCTATGAGAGGTTAAGGTTCCTGGGCAAGTCTCTATGACACACGTGCCTCAAACCTGAGGTGTGGCGACGACCCTCCTGCAGTGCGTCTGCTTCTCGTTGACTTCTGACCCAACACTCTTGTTGTGATAGTAAGAGTATATCAAGCCACAATGTCTCAGAAACCAGCAAATAGTTGCTCTCTGACCCTAACATTCACGTCACATTTTAATGGTGAGGAGTTCAGTGGGACAGTTGCCTCGTATTGCAGATTTATGGGGCACTGGTTGTGTGTGTGTGGGGGGTAAGAGTTATTCTGTTAACTGTGATTATATGTTTAGCACAAATATACAATGAAATCATTCCACTGAAGGATATCATCCATCCATCCATCCATTCATCCATCCATCCATTCATCCATCCATCTTCCAGCCACTTCTTCTGGACATGGTTGTGGGGAGGGGTGGAGCCTGTCCTAGGCAGCATAGTATACAGAGCTGGACCCTGAACAAGATCCAAGGATACTGTGTAATATTTATCTCAAGGTGAACCGAAGCGATAAAGAATTGCAGATGTCTTAATGTAAGCTAGAGGTGGGAAAAAGTGAAGATAACAGCCAATGAAGAGAATGGCAGTGGTGGGGGGGGGGGGGTCACTCTAACTCCTCCCACAATGACCACTGCACCCCCACAGTACCCCACAGACCTTTTAAAATGTCTTTTAAAAGTTGCTATCGTGGCTTGTGCTTCTATACGTCTTGTACCCTAAAAGTTAAGGCATTTGCTCTAAATAATATAGCTCCCCTATAAAACCTGCAACATTAAATTGCAACAGCGCCACCAAGTGGAGGATGACATGAACATTCATTAGGAGTGGGTGCCTGCCTGAAAATCTTGTTACAACCTTAGTAACCTCTGCAGTTGTGCAATAGTGTTCATCACTCCTGCAGTCCTGCTGAAATCACAAATCCTCCCCTGTTTGTTTGCAGCCTCCGGCTTGTCTCTCATCGTGACTCAGATGATCATTATTCAAGGGTGCTTGTTCAGAGGGAGAAAATGCATGCAGAATTGACACAAACAGCTGTAAAACAAACAGGGTGACTCTTTAAGGATCTCACTTGCCAGCTGTGATAAACAGAATGTTTGCCGTCTCTCAGGCTAATCTCCTTTTGACCTGATCACTGCACATCAGAGATCCCAAGCATCAGGCCCATAGCCAGAAATAAATCTGGAGTTAGATCCAGCAACGCTGCCAATAGGTCCCTCTTGGTAGATTTTGCTGAAGCCGAAGCAAATTTCAAGGGGGCTTCGGACCTGTTATTTTACTTCGTGGCTACGTGCCTCTGCCATGCAGCACAGCAACGCTGGCTTTACCAAACGCTTCCCAGAATGCTTGGTTCATTAATTCCACTGAAGACAGTTTTTAACATTTTTCCTGATTTAAATATTAAACATTCCCAGAGTCTGTCAGAGAGGCAGGGTTTTTATTAAAAATAATATCTGACAAACCCTGTTCAACAAATGCTCTTTTCAGCTGGACCAGTGTGGGATTAGCTCAGTTTATTGCACGTTTGTCTCCAAGTTTGAAAAGCAGGTCCACTTTACATCTAGCGAATACTGTTGCTCTGTGTTTGGGTGGCATTTTCTTGCATATGAATGATGTTTTTTGCGTCATGGATATTTTTTTCTTTAGGAGTTCCCTTGGATGATGAGAGGGCCTGAGAGAACCTCAAATTCAGAGTGAAAAGAGTGAACTATGTTTGCCTGGTACAATTATAAACAACATGTCCCCACCGACGGCATGTGGCCACATCGATGGGCTGAGCATGTGGACAGGCCGTCATCTTGGGCAAGCGGCATCTCTTCACAGTGTCTCCTCCAAGACAAATATCTCCTTTTTACGTTCCCCAGTTGTTGACTTAATGTGAGTCAAATTTGAAAACAATTACTGACCACAATCCAGGAACAAAAGGACAATGGAAAAAGGGCCCTTTAGATAATTTATGTAGCTATAAAGTAGCAGTTTTAAAGTATTACTGGCATTATTGCATTGGTGTACAGCAAAGCAGATGGAGTTTCTGTAGGTAGAGACCTGCTGAGGGGAATGAAATTCAGTGATGACTACAGTTGCCCCAGCTGTTATACTATATAGCGACATAAGTAAATGTCAGTTATCGGGTTTTGCTGTAACTGAAGCTCATCCATGACAGTGAATGTGCAAATAAGGTTTGTTCTGTTCCAAATAATTTGAAAAATATTTAATCTATAAAGCTTCACAGAACAATTATGTGCAGATTTCTTATGCACATAAATATTAATTGCGGTTAAAAAAAACCCTAAATACTGACTGCTTTGAAATGCTACATAAACCAATGTGCCCAATGAGATATATAGCAATAGACAGAAGTAACCAGGCCTGTTAGAATGAGGAATTAAAGAGGTGAGTATTCATGTTATACAACCATTGGCTTGTCTCTTCACCTGAACAAACACGCTTGATTACACCTGAGCAAATTGAGCGTGTGGCTTCCCGTGGTCTGGATCCCTCTTGGGTTCCTCCAGGTCACGCTGTTCAGGGGTCTGTGAAGTCTGGAGCCTCAAGCCGCTATTCAAAGCTAAGTCTGAATCTCAACAAAGTTTACTTTAAAACCCAAGGCTGCTGGACCAAAGAAGTGAGCTTTTCAGAAACTTCTTCCCTTTTGCAGCGCTAACCTCTCATGTATGTTACTCTCTTAAATATGCTGGGTCACATGCATGTTTATTTAGTCACTGCAAAACTGCAGCGTAGTGAGATGGCTTCGGTTAGTTCAAGGAAAAATGTTATTTGGGAAGACGGGCTGTTTTTGCTCCGCTTGCCTGGCCTCACACGGAGGGCCCAGAATTCCCATTCGTGCCTTCTCAGATGTCCTGCTCGGATGTCCAGCAGGTATTTCCCTGGAAATTTCTTGTCCCATGGACGCTTTGGAAGCCATAAAAATCCTCCCCCCCCCATGCATGAGGAGGTACAGAGGAGTATAGCACTATCAGGTGAGTTGTGAGTTATTGTGCCTGCCTGCAACAAGCTTAGTCTTCAGCTGGGTTCGAAAAGGTACATTTGTACCAAAAC